CCGGAGCATTCCCTGCCTGTGCCTGGTCCTGCCCCGCTGGATCCCGCTGCTCTCCCGCTCCTTCCCGCAGTTCACAGCGAAGCAGCTGGAGAAACTCTCCAAGAAAGCTGAGAAGGACTCCAAGGCTGAGCAAGCCAAAGTCAAGAAGGTGTGTGGGGCTGAGCCTGCCAGTGCTCAGCACTGTGGGGCCGCTGGAATTCCCTCCTCCCACCCAGCAGGACAGGGGCAGATCCCCTCCCCTCCCTGCACCTGCTGGGCACGGGGCACAGCCAGCGACACGAGGGGGGCGTTATTCCTGCTCTGGGCCATTCCCAGGTTTGGGCTCACACCAGATCTGTTTCCTGCTGGGAGCCCATCCAGCAGGAGCAGCGGGGGCCGGTGTGAAGCCCTGGGGGCTCTCTGAGCGCGGGCTCTCCGTGGGCAGGCCCTGCAGCAGAAGAATGTGGAGTGTGCCCGGGTTTATGCCGAGAACGCCATCCGCAAGAAGAACGAGGGCCTCAACTGGCTGCGGATGGCGTCCAGGGTGGACGCCGTGGCCTCCAAGGTGCAGACAGCCGTCACCATGAAGGGGGTAAGAGCCTCCAGCAGGGCTCTGGGAGCTCCAACCCCACCTGGAGCTTCCCCTCTCGCTGCCTCCAACCACCACAGGTTCCCCCTTCCCCCAAAAGGACCCCACCGGGGCTCCTGGTGGTCTCAGACCCCCTCAGGCAGGTTCATCCTACCTGGGATGGGGTCAGGACAGTGCTTGGATTTGTGTGTGACCCTGAAGGAATCTCCCCCTGCAGGTGACAAAAAACATGGCGCAGGTGACCAAGGCTCTGGACAAGGCCCTGAGCTCCATGGACCTGCAGAAGGTGTCGGCAGTGATGGATAAATTCGAGCAGCAGGTGCAGAATTTGGATGTTCACACGTCGGTGAGTGCCGGGCACCCAGGAGAGAGAGGGTGGGGCGAGGGTGGGATGATGGGGGGTCAGGGCAGGGTGACAGGGCTGTGTCTGTCCCAGGTCATGGAGGACTCCATGAGCTCGGCCACCACGCTGAGCACGCCGCAGGAGCAGGTGGACAGCCTGATCGTCCAGATCGCCGAGGAG